AACTAACACACTGTCACAAGTGGTAGATGAATTGTATGTCTGCTTAACCAATAGCAGAATGCCAACGTACAGGAACCTAATTCAAGCACAACCCAGACTGCCAATTAGTCAGCCAACCTTATAACTCTCACTGTTTCACGGTCTGAACAATGTCATCATGGGGTCTAATGTTGCCGCTACATATCGTTGCCATGGTAAAGACGAATAAACAACAATTGTAGAACCTCTTCGTCCCATTGTCATCCCTTCATAAATTCCTTGCATCCCAACTTGTGTTGTCAACAAAACAAGGACGTTATAGTCATGGTATTGTATCAAGTCTGACTGAAGGACGCATAAACTCTTCCATTTGCTCGGAACGGTAAAACCTCTCAATCAAACCGCTATTAAAAGAACTAGAAAAGGTACTTTGCTAGACTGAGTTTGACATCAACAACTCGAGGTATCAAGAATTAGCTACACCATAAATAAAGGGTTAAGTTAAAATCCACCCACCCTTAAGTATTGGCCGAATTCAAGACCAACAGCTCTTTGAAAGTCATTCTCTTTCCTCAATTTCGCCTCTTCCTGTTTACACGCCTCCAGGTACATTCGATCCAACTCCTTTTCACGATCCCTTTCTTCCTGTGTTGCATTGCAAGCACACACAAAACCAGAAGAATTGCATGGCCTTAAGTGAGGAAACAGAATCGCACTAACAGATATCTACCTTAATTGCATTTTTCTTTAATCCAAGAACACAGTCAAGATCGCTACGATAGTCACATTGCTGCTTAGCACGTTGCCCAAGATCAATGAACTCCTGATCGGCTTCTTGAGCTGACTCCAAGATTGCCCGACCTATTCTAATTTCAGTAGAGGCCTTGGCAGCTCGTTTTAAGAGACTATCCTCCTCAGCATTGCGCATTTCTATCAGTTTTAGAGCCGCTAACTCCTATGTGAAGAGAAAATGTAGTTTGGAAGTGCAGAAGAGGTAAAAAGAAGTTATGAGGGCACTTACCTGTCGTTTGCGATTAGCTTCTACACTTTTAATCCATGGATTACGACGTGAGTCAAGAACGACATCAAGAGCCTCCTGTTCTAGTAACTTCTTCGCCTCAAATTGAATCTCTTCCTGTCTACGGCTCAGCATTTCCTTTTTACGTCGATCTATCTCTTCCAAAGTGCTTCGTCTGATCTCCTCCTTACGGCTAATTGTGGCCTCTTTTTCCCTTAAATATATAAGACATTTTAATTCCAATCCCACAGGTTAC